ACCCAGAATGCATCGCTTCAGTTTTCCAATAAACAGTTTTAAAATTACTTTATTGATGCATCTTTAATGAAAAATCTACAACAAACAAAAGAAGAAGACAAAGCAGCAGCCGAACTAGCAATCCTCAATAACTTTAATTTTTACACCAGGAGCCAAAGGTCTGTTTCATGAAATCACATCCCCAGCAATCGGCAATTGTAGGATTAAGCTGTTAAAGGGCTCATACACTGCTAGCTGGCAGTGTTGTACATAATATTGTACATGAATTATCGCCAGCTAGTAAGTGTCAAACTGAACTTGTGCTTTGATACTTACTTCCGCTAGTTTTTCTATGGCATGAGCGCTTTTGAAGTTGCGGACTTTAGTATTTTCATAAGCGCTTTAGCTTTAGAAATTGCAGAGCTAATTTTTGGATTAGTGTTTCTCACCACTGGGGATAGAGAGAAATTCAAAAATAAACTTTTTAAATGATAAATTAAATTCACATAATGATAATAAATGCTAAATTAGTTGAGTGGTCCTGCAGTACATACAGCATGGCCTGAAAAGAAGCATTTATATAAACTAATGTGCATGGAAAATATGTATACATAAAGGAGTTTCTCTGGATAAAGTATTTCAAACAACTGCAAASAGCTTGAAATAAAGATTTTCTTAGAAATATTTTTGAAGGGTTTCGAGTGGAATTAATCGGTGTTTTGGCTTCAGCAAGCAGTGGATATGAATTGTTCAACCGATGAAGCTGTTTGAACATGGGATGCACGGGTTATCTGGTCAAAATCTTTTGAACCGCATGTTTCCTGCCTCCGTCATTAGCATGGTTTTATAGAGTTTTTTTACAGAGCACTTTGTAGAAGTTGCGTCACCTTGTAAGCTTGAATGAATGAATGTTTCCCAGTCACCCAAGGCCCGATTGTCCACCTCCGATTGTCAAACCCATAATGTTTTTCTTTCAGTTTTCTTTCTCGATCCTTGCCCTGGTCTTCGGAGGAGAGTGTTTCAATGAGGCGACGGAGCAAACCAGTGGTTCATGTTACGAAGTGTGCCCAGCTGGTATGTTTTCAACTAAATGCAGCACTGACATTGTACTGTAAGTGAAATATAACTTTAACTCATGCCTTGTCTTCTTTCCCAGGTTATTTCTGGGATAAAAGAGGTGGTCACTGCTCAGATAAAAAATACTTCTGTAAAAAGTGTGACAAAGACAGCTACACAGAGATTAAAAACCATATAAAACGATGTTTGAAGTGCAGCACTTGCAGTCGTTAGTATCTTCCTTATTGATAAGCTTTCTTACCAGCATAATGACATCATAAACAAAGAACTGAAAYGGTGTGTTTTGCTCTCAGATAGTGAGGTGGTAGTAAAGCCATGCTCGTTTACAAGTAATACAAAGTGTGGCTGTAAGCCTGGATTCTTCTATGTGCAAGAAAATATGTGCTGGGATTGCTCCAAAGTCACAGGTGAGTAAACTAGATTTACAGGAGTAAAATTACATTTATGTTATGTCTTTAAAAATAAACCCTCAATCAGAACCTTATTTTTCAGGTACCACTCATGCAGATTTTAAAAAGCAATGCACAAGGTGAGAAAAGTTCCAATCAGGAAAAGATGGATACATTGACTTATTGATTGATTTCAAGATTGTTTGTCATCAGCCTGGAGACAAAACAGATAGCTTTACTTGATGCAGCTTCTGATGTTTGGTGTTTCTTGGTTTTGTCACATTAACAATTTTTATTACTTTCATTTTAACTGAACTTGTAACAAATACAACTAAGAGGTTGCTCTGGAGATTGGCAAATTTGCAAAATAACTCTCATCTCAGGGAGTTACTTTCAACTTTGTTTGTTTATTTTGTTTTCAGTGTGTATAAATGTGACAAAACCATGTTAATAATCTGCCCACTTATTATTTGTTTTTGGATAATAAAAATGAATAGTGTTTCCAAATGTTTGACTCCGGAACGAGAGAGTTGAGATCCAAATAAATTTGATTAAGCCTCACAAATAAACAAATACCTCAGGACAATATGTCACATGGTTTATAAATCATAACAGTTTAATCTCAAACAATGAACTTATGTAGGAAATTTAATCAAAAAGTTTGAGGCAATAAAGATATTTTGTAATTTTAATTTGAAAAACGTTTGAAATTTGACTTTTATTAAATGCAAATTCTTTTTTTTTTTTTTAACTGAATAGCCTATAAGTTTTGAACCTAAAATGTATTAATTATTTATGGTCAAAAATCTTTTGTACATCTGCTTGACTGGTTGCTACTTGTACAAAAAAACACAATATTAAAAGAATAAATAAACAAGGTCTCAGAATTCTGTTTTTAGGTCTCTTCATGAAATACGGTACTTGTTTTCATTCAAGTGCCAATAAAAATATCCCAGTCTACTCTTCCTTTATAGTCCAGCAACTGTTTAAAAAATTGGGCTTCAAGTGTTTCAGAACTCTTTCCTCTATTTAGCAGGAGACTTTTTTTCAGGCGTAAACTAAATTTATACTTGAAATTATGCCTTTGACTCAGGTACTTAACCTCTGATATTAGCTCTGGATAAATTATTGAATGTTAGAAAGTAACTTTAATGAATTTTATCTCTGCTTTTTTATAACAAACTTCTTGAAATGAAGACTTTTTTTGTTGTTGAAAATTTCTAAATCAGAAAACAACTAAAACTAACAGCTTGTTGACACTCACATTTCGTTTATATTGGTTTAAAGCAAAACTCTTCTCATTCTTCTTTTAGTACTACAGTGTTGCCTTCTACAAATACATCTACAACTATGGTGTCAGTGACTACAAAAAGTAAGTAAACCCCTTAAATCTACCTGTTATCTATTATTATCAACTAGATCAGAAGACAGTACTTTATACTAATAAAATATACAGCGGGTAAAATAAGTATTGAACACGTCATCATTTTTCTCAGTAATTATATTACTAGAGGTGCTAATGACATGAAATTTTTACCAGATGTTGGTAACAACCCAAGTGATCCATACATACAAAGAAATCAAACCATAAATGTCCAGAAATGAAG